TGGGAGGATGGAAGGCAGAGGAAAGTCGGCCAGATGGCTTAGGGTGGACCAGGATTCCACATCATTTACTCTGTCCGTGTTTCCTTTTATTTCAGATGTTTTCAAGTCAGCAAACATTTGCTGAGGATCTACCGTGTATAAGGTACAATAATGGGTGCCTAGGGGGAAGGGACATAGTGGACAGAGATAAATAAACCCCAGCACATTTGCTGCCTTTGGGGAAAGCTGTCTTAATGGGGAGTGGAAGGGGCGGGGCAGACATGAGGATTGCAGAATGTTCCAGATGGCAAAGTAACTTGCCCAACAATGACTTAGCATGAGGGCCCCCTGATTCAGGACATCAGGGAAAGCTTCCTGGATGAGACAATGCTTGCAGTTGGCTCTGAAGATCAAGTCTCATTTGGAGGGCCGAGAAGTGAGAAAGGTGATCCAGGCAGATGGGCTGCGGGGTCTGCCACATCCTTTCTGCTTAGGTTCCCTGTCTCATAGGCAGGGGCTCCTGAAGGGAGAGTTCAGCTACCAGTGTTTTAGCCCCAGTTTGTGGCCTTCCTGCCTCGAGCGCAGAGCTGGCCTGTCTCCTAAATGCTGGGCTGTTGTCCCATCTTGGGCCCAGATCCTGGAGATGGGGGTCTTCCTCCTGTAGACCACCCCTTCCTGCCCGGCGTTCATCTCTGGCCATCGGGCCAGCTGTCTGGCTAACAGGTGGCTGGCGGAGGTGGGTGGTGGTTGCCATCTGGTGGTCTGGCTTTGAGTCCAAGGGCATTAGCCCACCTTTGTGTATAAAACTGTATACCAGGCCACATTTACGTAGAAAAACGTGGTCATTTCTGCTGCTGGAGGGAACTAAAGAGGAATCCTTCCCTCCCTCTTGAGTGCTGGCCCCTCCCCAGCTGAGAACCCTCAGGCAGCATGGGGCAGAGCTTCAGGCTACCCCAGTCTAAAGAGACTTTGTGTCCGCTGTGGGGCAGAAGGCAGATCTTTCTTTTGGGCACCCCCATTCCCCGTTCCCTGAGCAAAGGATAGTGGGGTTGTGTTTGACACTTGCATTTGGACCTCAGGAAGGAGGTGACTAATCCTAACAGAATCAGCATGTGTTCTCATCACTCTGGCCCCAGCCTGATATTGTTACCAGATGAGAACATGTCTTACTGGGTTTAACTGTGATGGCTGTGAAGACAGCACTTTTGAGTAACAGACAGCAGCACAGTGTCCTGAATAAACCCTGGGTCCTCCTACCTTGTCCTGGCCAGGCTGGGGCCAGGGTTTGCTTTGGGCTTTGAGACAGCAACCCACTCCCACCTTCTCTCCACTGCCTGTCTCTATTGTGCAAGGACCCCAGTTTCCCTGGCAGAGTAGCTGGGAGGTGGCTTCATGTCACAGCCTATGCCCTCCCCCAACCTCCTGCTGAAACCTGGCTGCAGACATGGGCCCTGGGCTCCAGCCCAGCATCTTGAGCTAATGCTCTATCTCCTATTTCTCCCTCTGCAGATGAACATCTGCAACAAGCCCTCCAACAAGACGGCCCCTGAGAAAAGCATATGGACTGTGCCTGCACAGCCCAGTGGGCCCTCCCCCGAGCTGCAGGGCCAACGATCCCGCCGGAATGGGTGGAGCTGGCCCCCTCACCCGCTCCAGATTGTGGCCTGGCTCCTGTACCTCTTCTTTGCTGTGATTGGCTTTGGGGTCCTTGTTCCCCTCCTGCCTCATCACTGGGTGCCTGCTGGCTATGCTGTATCCTTGGGAAAGTGTAGGACTGGTGAGTAGAAGTGGGGAGGCAAAGGATGGCAACCATAGCAGAGGCCCGAAGCCGGGCTCAGAGCCTTGGGGAGTACAGTTGGTGGAGCAGAGCAGGGTGGGCCCAGTCCTGGGGACCTGCTGCTTACCAGCCTGGCCTCCAGCCTCCACTTGGCCCCACCCGATAGGGTTAGTGGGCACACCTCAAGCACTTAGGGGCATGTCATGCCCCGAAAGCATGTGAATCCTGTCCAGGAGGGACCACAGGAGCAGCTGGAGAAGGAGGAGCCTTAAACCATCTTGATGCTAATTGTGTTCAGAGCTAGACAAAGGACAAAGTAGGGAGTAATTAGTTCATTTATCAAAGAATTTTTCACTTTTCTAAAAGAGTCACCGTAGAATTCTTTTACATAGTAAGTGTCCTGGTGCCTTTAAAATATGGTTTTATTTATGTTCAGACTGAACCAGGACTGTTGAAGAGCACATTTATTCTGTAAATCAGACCCTTTTAGAGTGAGGTTCAATGTGACAAGAGATGGGATGGAGATACCTGGGAGGCTCCTGGGAACAGTGACAAACCCGGACTTGCCTGAGTCCAGTAGTGTGATTGCCCCATCCCTGGCCACAGCCCCCAGGAGCAGAGGGTGTGGCTGCAAGGCCAGGGATTGCAGTGAAGCAGGCATCTCTATGCTCCTTTCCAGAGAGTTCCTATTTAAGTATCCTTCACAAAGATGATTCCTGCGGGGAAGGGGAGGGTGACCTAAGGGTGATTGGCAGGGACAAATCTGAAAGCCTGGGACATCGAGCCTGCAGTGAGCTCAGTCCCTGCTCAGCCTCTTCAGAGCTGCACAGGACCGAGCAGCTCCGGCCAGCTCTGTGGGTCTTAGCCTCCTCCTCTGTCTGATGGGAAGGCTCCTACCTTGCATGTTAGGATATATGTGAGCACTGGAATTCATTAAGCCATAAATGTGAATATGCTCTCTTGGGAAACCCCAAAGCCCTGGGCTGGTGAGTGACAGGGCAGGTGTGTGGAGGGAGACCCTAGAGAAGGTTGTCATCCTTAGACACAACAGTACAACAGTACACAACATCTGGAGCTGCTTGTGCCCTAGAGCCCAGGGGCTGGTCATGGAAAACGGGACTTTACCTGAGGTGACCAACAGGCCTTAGTGCTGTTAAGACATGGGACCTGGGAATGTGTCATGGGACATTCCTCCTGTGATCTGGAATGGACACATCCCTCACTAGGGATCACCTGGGTTTCTACCATCAGGATACCTGGGAAACCAGATTAACCAGATTAACAACTCCATGGCTGGGAGCAAGTAGAAGCAGAGCGAATGGTGGTACACAGAATGCAGTAGCATTTATTGAGCCCTTACATGTGCCAGGCCCTGCGTCAGCCACTTTACATGAATGATCTCATGTGATCCTCATAGTAATCCTGTAAGGAGGTGTTCTCCCCATTTCCTAATGAAGAAGCTGGGTACAGAGGTTCAGTGACTTCCTGAGATTACATAGCAGGCACCCAGTGAGGCCAAATGGGCCTCCTAAGCAGCCTGACTGTCATGAGAGGGACGGGTTGAGGGCTTTGTCTCCACACTCAAGGTTCATCTGCCTTGGGCATTGCAGAGGCTCACAGAGCCACCTGGTTCACACCTGACCAGGTCTGTATGTTCTCCTTCCTTCCATCAAAGCCTTCTCCTTTCTGCAGGCTCTGCTCCTTTCTGCAAGGCTCTCTCAGATCCCTGAGAGGTGAGTTAGGGTCAGAGTGGGTACCAGGTACCCATCTTGGGCCTGGAACTGGCCTGGGCCTTAGGGATGCAAGCTGAGCCTTGGGGTGCTGGGCCTCCAACTGGAGGGAAGGCTGGTGGACTGGAGATGGCCATGATGCCACAAGGTAAGCACAGGGTTGGGGTTCATACAGCAGATCGTGAGGGCAGGCAGAAGCCACCTGTACCAGCATCACTGCACATCCACAGGACACTTGCAGCCTGTAGCTCCCCTCCTCCCCCCACCTCTCCCCATGTGCTCCTGGCTCCTCCCCCTTCCATCCTTGCTTAAATCCATTTAGTCATCCAGCCCTGTTCATTTTGCCTCCTAAATAGATGTCGAATTGGCTCCCAGTTTCTGCCACTGCCAACTGCCCCTCTTCCCTGGATGACCGCTGAGTTTCTAAATGGGTCACCCACACGCACTGTCACCCCTGCCAGCCCATCTGCATTCCTGCTCTTTCCAAAAACAAAATCTGATAATGTTGCACCCTGGCTTCAAGACTTCTGATGGTTTCTTCCTGCCTTAAGCAATGATGCTCAAGGCTGGGCACAGTGGTTCACACCTGTAGTCCCAGAACTTTGAGAGGCTGAGGCAGATGGATCACCTGAGGTCAGGAGTTCCAGACCAGCCTGGCCAACATTCAAAAGCCCATCTCTACTAAAAATATAAAAATTAGGTGAGGTATGGGATGGGGCATTTAATTTAAAAAATAAATATACATAAATTAGCTGGGCGTGGTGGTGCACACCTGTAATCCCAGCTACTTGGGAGGCTGAGGCAGGAGAATTGCTTGAACTTGGTGGGGCGGAGGCTGCTGTGAGCTGAGATAGCACCATTGCACTCCAGCCTGGGCAACAGAGTGAGACTTCATCTCTAAAAGAAAAAAAAAAAAAAAAAAAACGGAAATGAGGCTCAACATCTTTGCATGGCTTCAAGGTTCCACATTCTGGACTCTGCCCCTCTCCTCCGTTTCCTCTGATGTTATTTTCCCTGTGCTCTTCTGTTTCTAAGGAACTGGTCTCTGCCTGGAAGCCCCTTGCCTCTCCCCCTGCTCCCAACACCCAGCTAAGTTAGAGGTCAAGAACTAGCAGCCCATGGCCAGTCCAGCCTTTTTTAATTGAAGGATAATTAACAAAGAAAATGCACAGATCTTAATGTTCCTTCTATAGGAGTGTTTTTTAAATTATTTATTTCCTTAACATTTAAACATTGAGAGAGCTCACATAAAAACCCAGACTTCTGGTTCCTTTTGAGAAGCCAGAAATTGACCAAACAGACCCTCATTCTTGCATCCTTATAAGGCAGCCATGAGCTGGAGGCACACTTCAGCCAAACCACAGGCTGGCACTCCACATGTTCCCCACAGCCACAGTCCCTATCTAGCCAGGTCCCCTTTCTTCTTTATCTGCCAGGTCCCTGTAATCCATTCCTCTCCAAGTCTCCGCTAAGACAATGCTTCCTCAGGTAAGCCTTCCAGAACCCTTCAGACTAGATGAGTTCACTTGATTACAAACTGGCACAGTCCCGCGAACTTTGTTCATTGTAATTAACCCATTATTTGATTAATGTCCACATTTTTGGGTGGGAGTGGTGGCTCATGCCTGTAATTCCAGCACTTTGGGAGACCAAGGCGGCCGGATCACCTGAGGTCAGGAGTTCAACACCAGACTGGCTAACATGGCAAAACATTGGCTCTACTAAAAATACAAAAATTAGCCAGTCATGGTGGTGGGTGCCTATGATCCCAGCTACTCGAGAGGCTGAGGCAGGAGAATCACTTGAACCTGGGAGGCAAGGGTTGCAGTGAGCTGAGATCACCCCATTGCACTCCAGACTGGGCAACAAAGTGAGACTCCGTCTCAAAGGAAAAAAAAATCCTTGTTTTCCACCAGACTATAGTCTCTTCAGCGCTAGGGACTCTTGCTCCTGCCATATCCCTCAGTGCCTGTCACGACAAAAGACCTCAGTAGGCAGCTAAATGAGTGACCATGGGGGTGAGGCAGGAGGAGTTGGGGCAGGCAGATAGTTAAATGTTGGCCCTCATTCAGTAGTCTGAGGAGCTGGCATGCTGAGCACAGTAGCTGGTGATAGCAGAGAGGTTTGGGAGGAGCCAGAGGAAAAGGGACTTTGGCACTGAGCAGAGGAGTGAATTCAGCTGGAGAGCTGTTGAGAGCCACTGTAGAGGTACAAGCAGGGAGGGTTTTGGGTCTGAGCTTTTAAAAAACTTACTCTGTGACCATGTGAATCATAGACTCAAGGGAACTCAGGAGGGGCAGAGTTGGGAGACTAGAGAGTGACTCAAGCAAGAGGTGAAGCCTTGGTCATGGCCATAGAGATAGAGGGGTCAGTGACGGCCACAGGATTGTCTCTCTCAGCTGTGCTGTGGCACATTAGGGCAGAGCCTGACTTATGTGGATATGTAGAGAAATTTGGCTGCTGGGAGGAGGAGGAAGGGAGGAAAAGAGGTTGGACAGCTGATGGATGAAGGATGGCGGATGGATGGTTAGAGCATGAATGATGGAGGGTTGATGTCTGCCTGACTAGCAAGAGGATGAGTGGAATTTTGGGCTGAAGAGGGTGGGATCAAGGGAGGAAGAGTGGATGGCTGCCTGGGTGGAATCTATTGGTGAATTTTTCATATCAGACTGCAGCAAAAATTGTCAGCATACTTGTCTCCTGCATTTGGCCCAGTCATTGAGCAGATAGGTCCTGGAAGAGCTGCGTTTCAGCTTCAGAGATTAGTCATGCTGACCCTGGCCAGTCCCTGAACATGGTAGGCCATCCCAGACACTCAGTCCAGGGTTCCAAGTGCCTAGATTCTTTGTAGGGGAGGCAGCAGGTGTCTGAGCCCCTGTCTGCAAGGGCTTCTCTACCTGGCCTGGCTACTGAAAGTGCGGGGGTGGCTGCATCCCTCTTGGAGGTGACTTGCTATGAAAGCAAGATAAGCAAGCTAGGACTTAAACTTTAGGTTCCTGGACCTTAGGTCAGTTGACCTCTTTCAGTCTAACATCAACATTTGGAATCTGAAACCAGAAACTGGCTTTAGGTCAGACCAGCCAGGGCCTGCACCAGGCCTAGAGCAGTGAGGCCAGGGCCCTACAATTGGGGCACCAGGTGGCCGCAGCAGGCACTGCTGGCTGGCTGTGGACTCTGTTCCTAGATGGCCCCTCTCCCTTTTCATGTGGGGCCCAGGGGTCCCCTGGAGAGTTCTGATGAGGAAGCTCTGGGGGGCTGGAGGTAGGAGGTGGCACAGGCCAAGAATCTAAACAAAGCGGGCTGGAATGGTGGGGAGTTCTCTGGCTGCAAGGAATGGGGCAGGACTCCCAGTCAGCAGAGTGTGGAGTGAGTCTTTAACCTGCTGGGCCAGTGCATGGGCGCCATCTTTGCCGGCCACCTCGTGGTGCACCTGACTGCCGTCTCCATCGATCCAGCAGATGCCAACGTGCGGGACAAGAGCTATTCGGGGTCCCTGCCCATCTTCAACCGAAGCCAGCACGCACATGTCATTGAAGACCTGCACTGCAACTTGTGCGACGTGGACGTGTGAGTGCATGTGTGAGGTGGCCAAGTGTGCTGCGTGATGCACGGAGGAGGGGGGCTTCCAGGGCTTCGCAGTCATCCCCTATGCCTCAGAATCCTCGTGTTTTATGTGGTCAAGAACCTTGATGGCGTGACAGGGAATTGGGTCGCTGAGAAGGTGAGGAGAAGGTGACTGGAAACAGATGAGGATTAGCATTCCAGCAGTTAAAGGAAGAAATATTTGGCACTGCCAAAACATTTCTAATGACCAACTCTGCCAGTGACATCCCCGCATCTCTTGCCACTATTCCCATATGGGGGCAGGGAGGGGTACTGATGCCTGAGGACTCACTGTGTGCTGAGTTGTGCCTGCAGCCACTCTGCATGGTTTTCTCACTACATGGAGGAAGAGTCCAGCACTCAGAAAGGCTGAGAGGCCAGACACAGTCACTGATGGTGGAGCCAGATTCACACCTGGGTGGCCAGACCCCCACGCAGATACTGCTGCCCTGGTCTACCCAGGAGGAGTCTGAGGCCTGGGAGGCCAGCTGGGTCACTTAGGTCCCTCTGCTAGCGTGGAGGGCCCCTGCCCCCTTGGCTGGTCCCAGCTGCCTCTTTAGGAGCCCCTCTCCACCCTTCTGGAGCTCCTTGGTCTCCAGGTCTCAGGTCGGGGATCAGGGATGGGGGCATGGCCCAAGGCCAGTCCCCCCGGCCCCAAGAAGTCTGTTGAAGGGGTCTGTCTGCAGGCTGAGCAAGCCACCAGCCTTAAGGCACCCAGGACTTGGACATGAGGCCATCCTGCCATTCACTGGGCACAGGGCCCACCAGCACACTTTGCAAGTGACTGTTCCTTCAGCTGCTGCTCTTTGCAGGGCTCTGCCCTGTTCTGGGAGGGGAGTTGTGCCTTTGAGTTTTCCCCATTGCCTCCCTGGGCTGGGAGACTCCTGTGAGCCCCTGTGATGAGTGCCTGAATGCCCACAAGGATGACAGCCTGTGCTGCTTTTGGCCCCCTTTGTCTTTACTGACACAGACTGAGGTTTCTAGAAGAATGCCAGTACCATTCCCATAGTATGGCGGAGAAACAGGGACCCACAGCTGGAGATGTTGGGCTGGGCAGTGCAGGCCCTGGGCCCGGCATCCTTGCTGTCTGTGGTCCTTGGGCCCACACCTGCATCTTCTGACTTCTCTCAGGTCCTGGCTTGGAAAGGACACCCATTTTCCTTTTCATGTCGTATCAGCTAGGTGCACAGTCCCAGAGCAGGAGGGATGTACCTCCTCACCCCTCCTACAGCCTCTGGGGACCCCCAGCTCTTCGGGAGAGCTGCCTCCTCCAGGGACCCCACCCTGTAGTGCCTGCAGAGGGCGCGCGCGCTCCTTGTCGCCGACCTCCGGGCTGTTTCAAGCCAGGTGCTTAGTCCCTCCATGGATCAGGGTCCGCGGCACCACGGGGCCGGGCAGCAAAGCAGGGAATGAGCCAACCGACTGTGCTGTGCCCTTTCTCCCCGCAGGAGCGCTCGCTCTAAGCATTGCAGCGCCTGCAACAAGTGCGTGTGCGGCTTCGACCACCACTGCAAGTGGCTCAACAACTGTGTGGGCGAGCGGAACTACCGGTGAGGATAGCCTGGCCGCAGGAGAGCCTGGGGATGCGCCTGTCTGAGGGTGGGAGCCACAGACCTTGCAGCCTGCATGGCAGGTGGGGAAGGGAATGCTTGGAGGACCTGTGCCCATGGTTATTTAGGGGTGCAGCCCATAGAGGGTGATGCTCCTGGGTGCTGGCTGAGATGGCCAAGGGTAGGGCTGGCATCTTCCACCATGCTGGTCCAGAAAAGGTGGATGGACAGGCCACTGGGTGATGGAGTGGCCACCCGTCTTCAGTTTTGCCGTATGCCTTTGGCTTCTGAGGAGTTGGGGCTGTGGTGTCACCCTCAACCCTCCGAGCCCACAGCAGTGACCCTACAGCCCCAACTCCTATGGGCCCTCTGAGGCCCTGGAGCTCCTGGGAGCTGACAGCTGCCTATGGCTGGGCCCAGGCTCTTTCTACACAGTGTCGCATCCGCTTTACTGGGTGTCCTGCTCCTTGTGCTGGTGGCCACATATGTCTTCGTGGAGTTCTTTGTCAACCCCATGCGGCTGCGCACCAACCGACACTTTGAAGGTCAGTTTGGGCTCCAGGCCTATTCCCACCCCTGACTTGTCACCTGTCACGTCCCCGGCTGAGCATGGGCTGCCTGTGCCTTGCAGTGCTGAAGAATCACACGGATGTGTGGTTCGTGTTCCTGCCTGCTGCCCCTGTGGAGACCCAGGCCCCTGCCATCCTGGCCCTGGCCGCCCTGCTCATACTTCTGGGCCTGCTGTCCACAGCCCTGCTGGGCCACCTGCTCTGCTTCCACATTTATCTCAGTAAGTGCCTCCTGTATCTGCCTTCCAGAGTGCAGGGGTTCTCAGATTTCAGGGAGGTGCCCCGCTGGACGGTGGACCCTAAAACCATGCCCCTGTCTAGTGTGGGCTCACTGTGGTGGCCAGGTCTCTCTCTATATAGGCTTCATGTATTTGGGGACACTGGTTTCAGCCTGGGGCTGGTTGTCCTCCCTCCTGTTCTGAGCTCCAGGGTCCCCTCTCCACTGCACTGAGCCCTCTCCTCCCCCCACCAGTGTGGCACAAACTCACTACCTATGAGTACATCGTGCAGCACCGCCCACCACAGGAGGCCAAGGGCACCCACAGGGAGCTGGAGTTGTGTCCTCCCAAGATGCCGCCCATTCAGGTATAGTGGATGAGAGATGGGAAGGGGCTTGGGCATCAGGGGTATTGGGCTGTGCAGAGAGCAGCCAGTGAGGAGATAGGACAAGGGAGGCAAGCCTGGAACAGCCACTGCAGGCAGGGGTGCTGGGGACAGCAAGGGCTGGGCTTGTGTGGAGCATGTGCCTTCTCGCCCAAGCGTGGGCACAGAGGGAACCCATGTTTCCTGGACCCCATGTACATGCCTGCCCAAGCGCCAGGCATGCATGGGAGGGCATGGGATGTGGAGCCTGGAAGCAAGCAGGTTGGGGCTGCAGCAGAAGAGAGGGAAGGACCAGCGACAGGTCAGTGACCTGTTATTAGGTGGAGCCTAATGTTAGGTGGTTAGAATGGAGCCATCGTTTCTCCCCATCCATGACCTTGAGCGGTTATACCCATTACTCTAATTTATGCTTAGAACAGCCCCATTGCAGATAAGCATACTGAGGCCTAGAAGGTTAACTGCAAGCTGAGTCTGGGAAGAGTTAAGGTCTCCATGCTCTGGCCAGCTTGGCCAGGCCAGTTGCTGACCAGCCTATCCCCATTCCCACGCCCCATGGCTTCCTGAGGTCAGCAGCTGGGGTGGAGGTGATCCAGTCCTTAGAGGAGCCCCTAGGGACTAGGAAGGCAGGGGCCCAGGCAGGCTTGGCTGGGAAGCCTGAGCCCTGGATCCCGAGGCCTCATGGCAACTGCACACAAACACAGGCTGGTTGGGAGGGTTGGGGAAGGCCTGGGACCCCGCCTCTCCTGTTCTTGTCGCTAGGGCTGAATACTGTGGGTCAGGCTGCAGGACTGGGTAGGCCTGGGCCTGGGGTGTGCTGGCTGTGGGTGACAACTCCACTGTCACACCACTGTATACCTGCCCCAGTGCTGGGCCCTGACAGTGGCAGCTGTGCTGGGGAGAGGGCACCATCTCCAGCCCCACATCAAGAGGAGATGGAGGCCCAGAGAAGTAGGCAGGAGACTTTCTCCAGCCTCACAGGCAGCACCCATTGAGGCAGGGCGGGCCCCACGATGTCCACACTCTAGGGCTCTTTGGCTCTGCCCTGCCAAGGCTTTGGAGCCAAATGTGGCTACAGCAAAGAAATTTAATTTCTGTTCTGTCCATCTGTAGTGCCTCGAGGGAGGTGACCATGGGGGACAGGAATGGTGTTCTTGTCCCCTTTTACAAAGCAGAGCGCTGAGGCTGAGGGCCCAGTACCATTCAGGAAAGTGCACGGTTTTGAAGGTCTCTGAGGAAGGATCCTCGGGACAGCCATGAGGAGAGGATGGGGCTCTGAGTAGGGACTCTGTGGGGACACACTCAGACTTATTGAGCTGGTTGGGGCCTGGTGCCCATCCCATCCTGGCCCCTCAGCTTCTGAGACCTCCTCTGTTCCCAACTCTGGAGCCCAGGGCCCCCAGTAGGCTTTGCCACTCTGCTGCCCCTGGAGGATCACTGAGTCCACACTGGGGCAGAGAGGAGGTGTGGGGGAGAATGATCTTGAGGTCCCAGTCCCTGTGACTGGCCTCTGACCCCTGACCCCGCGCTCCTCCACCCCTCTGCAGAGCTGCAGCCAGGGCAGAGGTTGGGCAGGGCCGATGACGGGGCTCCGCCCCCAGATCTGTCAGGGCCCTGCAATCAGCCATCCACCTCCATCCCATTAGGAATGCGGGAGGGGCCCCTCTCTGGAGCCGTTGCCCCCAAACATAGGCTTGTTTTAGAGACGGCCTTGCTGTTACAGTGTCCTGTCTGCATTAGTCAGGACGCCTCTGTCTCCATGGAAACAGGTGCTGAACCCGCGACAGCTGTCTGGGTGCTCCCAGTACCCCCTCCCACCTCTGACCCCACCCTGGACCCGCCCCTATCCCACACACCGCCCTTCCTGGGCCAGCTTTCCCACCCCCTGCCTTTGTTTCCTCACCTGGAGTCCCCCCCACCCCCCCACCTTCCCACCCCCGCCTGGCAAAGTTGGGGTGAGTCCTGCAGGTGGGGGTGCAGGACTAGGCCACTCCTGTGACCTCCTGGTCCTAAGGCCCCTTTGCTTTCAGGGGTTGAATCTGCACCCTCAGGGCTGCTGTGAAGATCAGGGCTCGCCCATAAGCCTGGTGCCCAATGGGGATATGGCCCACCATCTACTACCTTCCCTTTCAGGGGTAGTGGCAGGGAGACCACCTCACGTGCACCCATACATCCCCTTCTTGGCAGCCAGGATTGTGGCTGGTCCTCTGTAAGGGCGAGGAGTGTGCCCAGGACTCTGCTCTGCAGGAGCTGGTAGATGCACACGCAGGCCTGTTTCTCCACGAGGGGAAAACAATTGGTTCAGAGGCTGGAGCCCTGGGGATGCCAGGAGCAGGTGCGGGCAGCTTTGAGCTTCCTACCACTTTCCTAGCTGAGCCTCTCTAAACTGGGTCTATAGACCCATGGGGCTGGGAGCCTTCCCAGAGGAGGCTGAATAGATGAAGTGAGGACCTGGGGATGGGACAAAGGCCAGAAATGGGTGTTTTAAGCTTTACCTCACAGAGGGGTTTTCCCAGCCCAACTGGGAGCCTGGCATGAGGCCTGAGATGTCCCACAGAGGCCAGTGAGGGCAGGATTGGGTAGGCTCGGGGCTCAGGAGGCTCGGGAGCCACACCCGGCCTCCCAGCCTCCTTGACTCCCACCTTCCCCAGGAGATGGAGTTCTACATGCGGACCTTCAGCCATGTGCGCCCAGAGCCCCCTGGCCAAGCCAGGCCAGCAGCAGTGAATGCCAAGTGAGTGTGACCTGGGCATGTGCCACTGGGAATCTCCAGTTAGCATGGCAGGCAGGAGAAAGAGGGTAGCTGGGGCATGAGTCTGGCTCTTCTCTGGGCCAATAGGAAGGGAAGCTTCTCTCAGGGCCTCCAGTGGGAGGGATTTGGGGAACAGCCCCCAGGTTTACCCTCCTGCTTCCCCCTCAGTCCTGCCCAGTTTTTTGCCACCCGTGGCCAAGTGGAGCCTCCACCACCCTCTTCCCCAGACACTCTTGTCCTGCCTCCCGGGATCCGACCCCAGGTAGGTGGGACTGTGCTGGGCCTCTGGTCCAGGTGGAGGGGGATAGAAAGAAGCCTCTACCCTGGCGCACCCCTCTGCTGCTTTTGGTATGTGGGGCTCTCAGTCTCCCTCCGTGTCTCTGCAGAAAAAGAGGAAGAGGCGGTTGTATAAAGTGCGGACGTCTGAGATCTCAGATCAGGCGTTGGGTGAGCACCCCTCCCTGTCCGGGTCCTGCTCAGGGAGCTCAAGGGAAGGGAAGGCAGAGCCACGAGCAAGCCGTGGCCCCTGGGCTCATGTTCCCCTTCCCTGAACAGGGCCCAGGGCCCGCGGCCGCCGCTCCAGCTCGTCGGCGGATTCCGCGGACGCCAGCCCTGTGCACGCCGCTGGCCTTGCCGGTGCCTACCACTCGGCGTCAGCTGAATCCGTGGAAGAGATTCCCGTGTCGCAGACGCGCCTGGGCAGCGCCTCTCTGGCCGCCCCGCGGGGCCGGGGCCGAGAGCTGGGGCTGGCTCTGCAGGCGCGTGCGCTTGCCGTTTTCGTGAGCCCGAGCAGTGCTGAACCCCGGGCGCCAGGCGGCCGGGAGGCCGGTCTGGGTTAGCTGGGTCGAGAGGCCCGAGGGCCGGGGAGGAGCGACCGGCCCGACTCTCTATGCAACACCCCACCCTTATCGCACCGAGTGCACTTTAGGGGCCCCAGTGACCGGCGGGATTGACCTCCCATCCCCACGACTCAGCAATACCCGCCCCACCGGTCGTGATGCTCCAATAAACTTTTTTATGCTTTTTCGGACGTCGTGCTTACTTTCTTAATGGCAGGGGCCCTGGGTCATACAGAAGCCCGACCCCGGCCAATCGACCGGGGGCGGGGAAGGGGTCTGTCTGTGTACAGTAGGTGGCCAACCAAGCTGCCCTGTGGAGGTGCTCAGGTGTGGCTCGTGGTTAGGGGCTCCTGGTTAGCAAAGGCCTTGGAAGGCGGCCTGGAGGAGGTTTCCCTTAAAGATGGGCTTTGCATTGGGAGACCAAGACAAAGCAGCGGGCGCTGAGACTGCAAGGCCGCAGCGAGGTGGCGGTGAAGGAGGGGGCCGAGTCCGAAAGTCCGGGCAGCAGGGCCGCCGTCGAGTATCAGCATCCTGGGGCTGGGCGAGAACGATTCGCTGGTGGGGAGTCTCCTCCCTCCCCAGTGCTCCAGGCTCTGAATCCTACCCAGGAGAGCGCGGGAGTTGTGGCTTGGGGATGCCACCCGTTCAGTGGATAGCAGTGCTCTAGAGCCAACTGTAAGACCCCTGTCACAGAGGGAGGGTTCCTTCCCGATTCCCCAACTCCCCCCAATCCCCCGCTCCAGCTCCTCAACGGCCTCTGGTTGGCTCTCTAGGGAGCTGGATCGCCCCTGGAGATTGGGACCGCTTTGAGCTTTAGGCAGATCTCAGGATGGGAGGCAGTTGCCACGGGGGTCGGGGGTGGGGGCTGTCCGAGGACGCCCCGAACTGCAGAGTGCTGGTCTTGTCGCAGCGAGAACCAAGGAGTTGCCGGGGGGAGGGGCGGGATGCGGCTCCCTGAGCTGGGCGGAGAGGGCGGGGCCTCGTGGGCGGGGCCAGTATGACCTTGGTCACTCTCCCGCGGAGACAGCCTCGGGGGTGGGACTCGCCGTCTCTATGGAGACCGAGAAACAGGGGATAATACGGCGGAGCCGCCCGGGCTGCAGTCCCACCCGGGAGCCGGCAGGGAGCGGAGCTGCGGAGCTGCCTGGTCTCGCGCGTCCATCGGTCCATTCCTGCGCCCTTCTGTCCATCCGAACACGTACTTCAGGAGCAGCCGCAAGGTAGAAGCCCATAGGATAGCCAGATGCCGACCACCTCAATCAGTATCCTGCACGATGAGGGTTGGTGGGAGCAGCCTGGAAAGGGTCCCAACCTCGGGCGGTCCCAGCAGAGTAGCCAGCTGAGCGGCCCTGCCCTGGCCCCAGGCATTCCACCTCGCAGCCCCCACCTCCTGGTCCGGCTGATTGATGACTCCAGCTGTCCCAGTGGGAGTCGGACGGGTGGCCCCAGTTCATGGGTGTGGCCACTCCATCCATGGCCTGCAGACCCATGGGGCTGCGGCCTGCACCCCAGCGCCACCTGACTGCTCTGAGATGACCAAGAATCCATCTTCCCACTGACAGGAGTGAGCACTGCAGGCAGAATCTTCCCAGTGCTTGCGGCAAGCACTCTATGGCATCCAAGCTCCCCTGGACATTACCTTGTCCAGGTGAACCAAGTTCAGGTCTTCGGTTCCCTAGTGGGAGGTTACACCCAGGGAAAGGGAAGGAGAGTGCAGTGTGGACTGGGGTTGTGGTGCTGCAGAGGCACCTGTAAAATAGGAGCCACTGGTGCTCACAGTCCCAGAAACTGCCACTTAGGGATGCCAGAGTGTGGTAACTGGGGAGGAGTTTTCAGTGTCAAGGCCAGTGGTGGTGGAAGATGGGGCAGCTGGGCACAGCCCAGGCTGTGGTCACTAGAGGCCCTAGTGTAAAAGGCAGACCTAGAAGATGGTTACTGAGACTGAGGGGGTGGTCAGGAGGTGGCAGTGGAGGGGGTGTGTGGTCAGGGGTTGGGATCTTTTTGCACAGGGGATCTCTGAATAGTACCTGGGAGTCTCATAATGTCACTGTGTGGATGTGGACTGGGGCCTTCAGTGCAGGACTAAGGGTGTGGCCAGAGGGCTACGGGTGTGTGGACAAAGGGGTGCTGAGGGTCAGGGCGCCTTGATAAAGGGCTGTGGGTATTGGAGCGGGTGAGTGGCTGAGGCTGTGGTTGGGAGTCTTAGGAAGGGATGCAGGTTTGTGGCCAGGGGCCTCAGCCCCAGGGCTGCAGGTGTGGGGATGAAGGAGGCTGCTGTGCAGGCTCAGGGTGTGGCCAGGGGCCTGCAGCAGAGGGCTGTGGGTGTGGGGAGCACTTTAGTGCAGGGCTGTGGGTATTACTGGGGTTGGTGCAGGCTTGTTTGTATATATGTGGGGGCTGGAGGCTGAGGGCTGTGGCTGTGGGTGTGAGGATGGAGGAGGCTGCAGTGCAAGGCTGAAGGTGTGGCCAGGGGTACAAGGCCCAGGGCGTGACAGGCCAGAGCTGAGTGCACAGGGTCGCTGGGAATGTGTGGCTGAGTTCAGGGCGTAGCCAGGGGCCTCAGTGGAGGGCTGTGGTGTAGACTTGAGGAAGTGTGTTTCAGCCACATCCCCACTTGCCAGCACGAATCTTGGGGTTTGTAACTCCACAGCCCCCACCTCAACTAGTCCCTAACCTCCTGTTCCCCCAAAACTCCACAGTGGGAGGTTACAGCCCCAGTGGGTGGCAAGAGGCCAGGAAGCCACGGTTATGCCCCAGGCACAGGGAGTGCTGGCGTGCCCCACCCGTGGCTTCAGATCCCCAGCCCAGCCCAGCCCAGCCCAGCCCCTCAGCACTGGGAGCTTCTCCCTGAGCCGCCCTGACACCATCCTGCCCTTAGCAACATTCTCCAAGCAGCACTACCCTCCCTTAGCAACCGTCTCCAGGCTTCACAAACTGTGGCCAGGCCAGCCCCAAGGTCCTGCTCCCCTCATGTTTTTGTTTAATAGCAAATAGTAACAAGGCCCTGCTGGGCCAGCTGCACCCCTGCCCAAGGCATGCACCCCTGCCCAGACTGGCTCTTGCTGGGTCCTCATGACTCTCTCAGAGATGCCATCCTCATTAAATGCCTGTCCGACTAGCAGCCTGGCCTGGCTCCAACCCAGCTTGGCGTGGAGCTTCCAGGGAGGGGGCCTGCTTTGCCACCCTCACTTCCACCCAAGCAGGCCTGTGCCAGGGCCAGACAAAGCCAGGGCCCCAGCTGCTGCCCTCACAGTCTTTCTGGACAGTGCCACTCTGTTCCCAGCCTGCTGTGGGCATCATGATTTCATCTGCTGAACCCTGCTCAGAGCCAGGGCTGGCATTAGTGATAAAACCGTGCCTCCCGGGGATCTTCCTCGGGGTTCTGAGGCCCAGGGCGAGAGTGACTGGCCCCTCTCCCCAGGCTGCTCCAGCTCCAACTGTCTGTAGCAGAACCTGCCCAGGTCTTGCAAGTTTGGGGTAGAGGCCAGGATGTTCTGGGCTTGGGGGAGGGGAAGGGCAGCTTGGCTGGGAGGTGAACCAGGTGGGTCTCTACAGGGTGGCATGGCAGCGAGCACAGACATCGCTGGACTGGAGGAGAGTTTCCGCAAGTTTGCCATCCATGGCGACCCCAAGGCCAGTGGGCAAGAGATGAATGGCAAGAACTGGGCCAAGCTGTGCAAGGACTGCAAGGTGGCTGACGGAAAGGCTGTGACAGGGACTGATGTGGACATCGTCTTCTCCAAAGTCAAGTGAGCCCCAGGCAGCCCCTGCTTCTCATGTTTCCAGTGGGTGGGGAACTGGGGGCGCTGGAACCAGGGAGGACATAGAGAAAGGGTCAGGGAAATACCATGATCACAAAGATCATTCTTCCAGGGCAAACCTTATCTATTGCCCTCCAGAGGTGCTGACTCCTGATATTTCCCCAAATGTGGGTAAGAAAGAAACTCAATTGCATAAATTGTGGTGGCGGGGACTGTGTTTGTGCTTTCCCCAGGGGGGTAAAAATGGGGAACACTCATGATGCCCACATGCTTGGCAGGGGGAAGTCTGCTCGGGTCATCAACTATGAGGAGTTCAAAAAGGCCCTGGAAGAGCTGGCAACCAAGCGATTCAAGGGGAAGAGCAAGGAGGAGGCCTTCGATGCCATCTGCCAGCTGGTGGCAGGCAAAGAGCCAGCCAATGTGGGCGTCACTGTAAGTGCCCTGCTGGTCTCGGGGGGCCATGGAAGGGGGTGTGGGGAATCTTGACTGTCGGTGGGAAGGGCTGGGCTCCCTCACCAGGTGTCCCTGGGGAAACTCTATCCAAACAGAAAGCAAAAACAGGGGGTGCTGTGGACCGGTTGACAGACACCAGCAGGTACACAGGCTCCCACAAGGAGCGCTTTGACGAGAGCGGCAAGGGCAAAGGCATTGCGGGACGGCAGGACATCCTGGACGACAGTGGCTATGTGAGCGCCTACAAGAACGCGGGTACCTATGACACCAAAGTGAAGAAGTGAGGCTTGGGAAGACCGTCCCCACAAGTGCGGCTGCTCCTGCAAGCGGCTCAGGCCTGGGTCTAAGGGGCATATGGAGCAAGAGAGCCTGGTCCCCTTCCTGCTGGACCTGCTACCCGGAGCTTCCTGCCTAGTCCCACCGGGCTGGCCCACCAGGCCTCTAACCCAGGCTCTTCTGTGGCCCCTTCCTCCTCCTCTTCCTACCCCAACTTCTGTCCACCTGGGGACAGTCTATGCCTATAGCCTCACGACCCCAACCCAACCCCGGGCATGGCTAACCCCTGCCTGCTTGCCTCATATTTAAGCTGCTGCTCTGGCCAAGTGCCTAATTCTAACCCAGACCTCAATAAAGACACCTTTTGTACCAATATGACCTGGTTGACGATGATGGGGATAATGACATTCACACCCCAGTGATCTGCTCAGTGTCATCACCCCACTGCATGGCACACACTGCTAATCTCTCCCTTTCCCCTGGCAGTCCTGCCCAGAAAAAGGGACACATAAGTTCCCTTCTGTTAGCACAGAGCTGTTCTGTCTGAGGAGATTCCTGAGGTAAGTCCAAAGCCTTTTAGCTGGGCCTGATGGGAGACCTGACATCCAAGCTTGCCTTCCTGTGATCAATGCCTTGGGTTTGGAGACTCGGCCCCTTCTCCACTTTCACAGCAGGAGCCGACTCCGCCTGGGCCAAGCCTT